TATATTATTAAATTAAATTAATTTATAAAACAACCTACCTCCCTCGATCCCCCTCATTTCCCCCCAAAGCTTTCTCTCTCATCACTCTCAGCTCTCCTCTCTCTCGTCGCCGGCGCAACTGTCGCCATCGCTCGACCAACACCAAAATCTCGTTCGCCATCTTCGCCCACTGTCGACGTGAGTGATCTAGTCATCGCTTCAGATTTTTGGGGTGGATTTCGAGTTAACCTGCCCTTTCAAAATCTACCGTGACGAGCTTCGATGCGGCGACAATGGTGGTGGGGATGTGTGCTATTGTGCGGTGGTGTTGGCGACGTAGTGGGTGTGTGGTGGGTTTGATTTTTGGGCTATGATGGTGGGGGAGATTTTTGGGCTGTGATGGTGGTGGGCGTGTGTGCGTTGCTGGTTGGGGACGGTGGATCTAAAAATGGAAGCGGCGTTCACAGTTGATGGCTGCAATGGTTTGGGCGATCTAGTTTTTGAGCATTGGTGGTGTCGTTTGCTGGTCGTGGTGCCTCTGGCTGTGTGCGGTGGTGTTGTGTGGGGGTGTCGATGGTTGTGGTCGGGTGGTTTTGGTGGTCGGGTGGTTTTGGTGGTGTCGGGGTGTTGATTTATTTTTTAGACAGCGGTGTTGCCTTCGGGCAGTGTTAGTAGTTTTGGCAGCGACTGTGGTGGTACAGGTGGCGGTCGACGTTGGTGGTGACGATACCGGTGTTAGTAATGGTTGTTCTAGTAGATTTCTTGTAGTTTTGTGTTTCTGAGTCTAATTAATTTGGTGGATTTCTTTTGGTTTTGAGTTTCTAATCTAATTTCTCCAATTAATTTGGTGGATTTCTGATTGTCGTGGTGTTTGGGTGGTGGAGATGTTGGTCGTAGCGGTGGTGGTAGTGGTCGTGGCGATAGTGCAGAGGTGGTGGGGGTGAATTTGGTCATTTTGGTTTTCTATGACTAAAAATATAATATGTGACCTTAAAATTCGATAACATGTGACTAAAAATATAATCCATGACCAACCATTTCGTTATATGTGACCTAAAAATTATATAATCTGTGATCATGAAAAAATATTGGATCAAATAATTTGGAAATTTGTGTTCGTCTGACCTTCTGTGACTAAAAATATAATCTATGACCTTAAAATTCGATAAACGGTGACTAAAAATATAATTCGTGACCAACAATTTTGTTATCTGTGACCTAAAAATTATATAATCTGTGACCGTGAAAAGATACGTGACCAACTAATTTGGAAGTTTGTGACAGTGTGAGTGTGTGACCTATAAATTTTGATATGCGACCAACTAATTTTGAAATCTGTAACCAACGAATTAATTGTGATCTACAAAATTTTTGAACTATGACCCTAAAATAGTCGCCGTAATCGGTCACCGGAACAGTTGTCGGAATCGGAGCAGCCACCAGAACGGTCATCGGAATATTCGCCGAAGCAGTAGCCGGAGAAGAGTGGTGACCGGAATAGTCACCGGAGCGGTAGTGGTGGTGGAGGTGAGGTGGGTTAATTATATTATCATTAAATATTAAATAAATTTATTTA